ACGAGCGTAATCCTGGTAGATACAAACGCAAATCCATTCAAAAATAACTGTTCTTACCCAGTTTTCCAAGCTAAACACGAATCTGAACTGAATTCCTGTGATTTCTAAAGATGTTCTATCACTCTGAGAGTAGAGTCAGTGGTCACAGGATAGAGTCGCATACAGTGTGGTCCATGCTAACTTAGCACGCCTGTATTTTCTCCTTGCAATTTAATGATAAAAAACACAGTGAATATACCTTTTCACTTTTTGAAGTACACATAACACTCGGATTTAAATCCGAGGTTTTCGCATTTATTTCTTATTAAAATACAAAAGAAAGGAATCTGCACAATAAGAAAGCCAATATGATTCATCAGTTTGTATATTCGAGATGCATGCATATTTTAAATTGGGCTCAATTAAAAGTTTTCTTTCCATCATTTAACTTTGATATTGAATACTGTGGTTAGATATGATTTTCTTTAATCTACAAAAGTCAGATAAACACCTGATAAGTTCTATTTCTTTCCTGTAACAAAAACAAAATGCATTCATGAAATTTTTGTTTTGTAAAAAAAATTATTCAGATGTGGAATTCTTCCTATTTATCAGTAATATCGTATTTACCACATTCTGACCTATATATATATTTCTCAAGGAGATGCAGAATAATATGAGCTTTTATACTGTATATATATTTAAAGGTACTTTTATGGATTAGCAGATTATCCATACTATCGGACTAGGTCTTTTGTAAAGAAATATGTAATTAAATAATAATTGTTTTTGCCTTGCATTTTTGTTTTGTGTATAATTGAATTAAAAAAATATTTACTCAATCAGTTATAAATTCATAAGTATACGATACAAAATATTTGACGAAGATGAAAATAAATTCTTTAGTTTCACAAATCGGTTAATGTCTTCTGTTTTAATGCTGTTGAACTTTTATCACAGATGATGGTATTAGAAGCGCCATTAATAAGATGTCCATAGAAATAGAAAATTGGTTACTATCGTATTCTAATGGTACGGTACAACACGACCAGATACATTACCATTAATTATAAGCTTTTGACCCACAAACAGAATATATGCAGGTTAGTAGAGAAAGATTTCCTTCTTCTATTATCAAGTTTTATTGCGTACTGTCAAAAGGTCAACGGAGAACGCCATCTTCTCCATGACTACAGTCGAATATGACGAAGATCGTACTCTCTATTGAGATCACGGCAATGCACAATATAGCTTAAAAATACATAGATCATTAGATAGAGGCAGTCTTCTTCTCCTAGCTTTCATATAGATCTCGTTCGGAAATTAAAAACCACCATTACACTTATATTCGTCTTCGTATTATTCTTTCTCTTATTAACAACATTGAGTAAATAAAATGAGTGTCTTCGTTTTTTTTTTTACTTTCGCTAATATGATAAAAGAAATGATGAAGTTATGAAAAAATGTCTTCAACCAAAGATGTACTTTAGATATGCACTTTTCAAAAAAAAAAAAACAGCGTCATTATCGTTTCTACTTAACAGCATGTCAAATGAATACATCTTGTCGACGATAAATATTTTGTTCTCTTTCTATTGTAAGAAAATTTATAAAGTATAATACATGATATATGTCATTCGTTTTTCTACTTAAATGATGTTTACTACATGATTTATTCAATAGTTATAAGCATTTTCGATCTGTAGATCTACTGGGAAATTTTATACAACGTATTTTTATACATAAATAAATATGTTCATCAATGTATATCACAGAAGATATCTGTGAAGTTTATTTTGCTTGTAAGTATAAAAAAAAACCTTTATTTTTTCAAATTTATCGATTATGTAAGTCATTTATTTTAGTGATAGCGCAACGAATCACAATCTTTGTGAGTGTCAATGATGAGACACTTTGATAGTAAACAGAGGTGAAAGTATTCCTTCTAGTCTAATTGGCTTAGGATATCTGCCTAGATAGCAGAATATGTATGATTCAAACCTGATAATGGGAATCTTTTTCTCGATTCTTTGATGCTAAAACCCTTAATGACTTATACATGACGCTTATACTATGAATATTCCAAGAGAAGGAGGATGATGGCAGGATAAAATATTTATATTTCGAAGCTTATAATTCTTTATCTGTGTCTACTATAAATTTGATTATTGTGAAGAATTTTAGCATTATCTAATCACTTTTTATGAGTCATTAACTTTCAACTCTGCTGAGTAACCGCAAGATGCAGATAATATCATTTTTCGTTTGTTTTCTCTTTCAGATTGATATTGACTATAGACTGAAACACAATCGACATTGGCAAAAAATTCTATTAATAAAAGCATAAATAAACAATGTTTGAAGAAAATATTGATGAAAAACGTGTTATTACAGATACAAATATTTTACAAGAAGAACTCATCTGTCGGATATGTTATTATATTCTATGGAAACCTCGTATCTGTGCTTCATGTCAAAACTTAATGTGTCAAAAATGTATTTTAAAGTGTTTAAGTCCAAATCAAAACTTATGTCCATTTTGTCGTTTAAAATTTAAAGAAAAATTTGTTGCATCATCACGAATTCTTTCACTCTTATCTAATTTACGTATTCGTTGTTGTAATTCTTCGAATGGTTGTACAAAAATTCTTCCATATGATTTATTAGAACAACATGAAAGTTTCGAATGCAAATATATTTCGAAAAAATGTCATCGATGTGAACAATTAGTACTTATAGAAAATATTAATCAACATGAAAATATATGTAAACCTATTTTAATCAAATGTTCTATTTGTAAAGCTTTGGTAGAATCTCAATTTATTCATTCTCATAAAGATGAATGTTTACAAGAAAGATCAAATGAAATGATAGAACATCAACCATCAATATTGTCTATGAATCGATTTCGTCAAGAAAATTATTTTTTTCTACTTTGGACATTGTTTAAATTGATTTTATTTAAGCCATCAATGATTCATTTAGTTATATTGAAGTTTTTTATTTTTGATATACATTGTTTTAGTAATGTTGCAACAAGTCTATTATGTTTTATAGTAATATATGTTTGGTTTTCTTCTATTCAACGGTATCTTATTCTTTTTATATTCAGTGAACTATCAAAGTATGTTATTTGTTTTGTACTTACATCGATAACTGATACATATTTTATTTTATTTTTTATGTTACTATCATTCATTTGGAGTTTAATGAATTTACAATTATCAATGCATAGTTTTCAATTAAATAAAAATTTAGGAAAAGATTTTTTATACATTCTATTAGATTTGTTTATATCTAAATTATGGCTTCTTATGATGCGGTTCTATTTCGAAATTTTACCGTCCTATGTAATTACAATATCTTGGTCATTAATGGTTACTTTTACTATTGGTAGTCTATTTTAGAAGCTATTATATCGACAATAATGGAAAATTGTTAGATTATCTTTCCATTTTATTATTATATACAAACATTCAAGAATTGATATAGATAGATAGTGAATGCAGTCAAATTAATGATACCATATGGAAGAAGTGAGAAAAGATAATAAATAACATTTTTGTTTAAAATCGACTAGCTACAAAGATGATTATGATAGAGATTAACTTTTTGCTCTGTAGGATTTTATTTATGTTAAGGATTCATAAAATGCAATATGTTTTATTTTGAATTATTTAATGTGAAAAGAAGATTGAAACTAATATAACCGAGAATATTTATATGAATTTACTTGTTTTGGGGTGATGACTAATATTGTGCTTGATGTTTCTTTCATTTTTATTCGAAATGATTCTATGAATGATCGGTGCATTTTTTTTCTCATTTTTTCCTATATATTATAATATTTTATATCTAATTAAATCAATAGGTAATTGATATTTTCCATGTAGACAATTAAATATTTCAAGTGAAGAAGTTTTGCATTTTGACGAAGAACATATTGTTAATGATAAACATGATGATTAAATGGATTTTTCTATTCGATTATATGTTATCTTCGGTGAAAACTTCATTAAATTCGATGACATGTCCATTATGCTGCTCTTTATATAAATAAAAGTTTGCTTGACCATCAATTTCGACTTAATGTTGTTTTCCATGTTGTAATACTTCGTTGGGCTATACAAAAATTGTTCGACAGGATTTATTGAAATGAATACTTTCGTAGGTCATAAAAACTTGCTTCAATCAATAATAGACTGGACAGGAAATTTTAGTTTTCGAAAAATGTTTTGTATTCAACAAAATGCATATAGGGAAACTTTCAGAATTTCATACTTTATCTTGCTAACCTATTGAAAATGCAACGTGTCGGAGATATGACAGGTTTACGATCTTATTTGACAGCGTGCTTGAATACATACTTTGGCCATTTCTTTTCTTTATCTACAGACCTTATTTTTATATTTATTATTTTTGGTTTAATTATTTGAATTTAAATATTCTTGGATAACAAATTTTATTTTAAAGCTATAACAAATTTCTTTGTCAATACAAAGAATAACAATAGCTAAAAAACACAATTTTAAACAACTCCTTTAAACATATGATATTGTTTAAATTGTTGATGAAGTTGTTTAAGTAATTCACGTTCAGCAATTGTCATTTGTCCGCTATATTGTTCAACACGTTCACCACTTATTCGAAATAATTCAAATGCTACACCATTTAATGTTTTCTAGAAATATTTAAATTAATATTTTCAAAAAACAAAACAATTAGTTTTACTTTAAGTGCAGAAGAAATAAAAACTCCTTTAGATAAAAGATGAACATAATCAATAAGAACATAAACAATAGTAGAACGAAAATCTTCTTTACATTGTTCAATAAGATGAGCAGATAATCTAAATAAAGAACTTAACATACATGAAAACGACATGATGAATATATATATATATATACTTTGTTATATCACGTGCTGCTTCAATTAAATTTTCTTCTTTTTGTTGATTTTCTTTTGCTTGCGTAACAATTGATTGAAGAAGTACTAAAATCTCATCAATAAAAAATACAAAAAAACAACGAATAATAAATTCTTACATTTAATAATAGTTTCAACTATTGGCACATGTTTACATAATGTTTTTGTATGATGTTTAATCAATAAAGAAACAAGTTTACAAATATTTGAATGTTGTAAAAATAAAACATTTATTGGTAAATGAAGACAACATTGAAGTAAACTTAAAGCAACTTGAGAACGTAATTGAGACTAATTGAAATAAAGAAAAATAAAATAAGATAATATTTATGAATAAATAAATTATTTATTCAAACCTTTTTCATCAATAAAACATCATTAGCAAATGACAAAACAATAGAAACAACTTCAATATAACGTGAAAATTCAATTGAAAGATTAGTTAATAATGAGCCACATTGAATGATAACCTAGGAAATAAATTCATCAAAAATTTTTAAGATAATTTTAACTTATATTACTATAAATTCAAAAATAAACATGTGTTTTAATAACAAAACAAATAAATACTATACAATAAAACTTTTTTACATTGAATCCTCTTTCAAATTTTCTAATGCTACCATTACAAAGATATTCAACTCATACCAGATGAAAGTGTACAGTTAAGGGTACCCCCCCTCTTTTTGACACTTTCTGATTCTTGAAGACGGTACGACCGATCAAGCTCAAATTTTCAGCACAGATAGAACATCAAAAATAACGAGATACATGTTCGAGGAAAAAAATTTAAATTAAGTTTTTATGGGGTTTTCCAGAGGTCCGCATCCTGATACATTACGGCCCCCCTTAAATTTTGTCCGATT